CCGCGCCCTCCGCAGAGCCGCCCGCGCCGCTCAGCCGCCTCCCTCCGCGCGTCTGCCTCTCCGCGCGCTCGCCCCCGCCTCCCCGAGCGGGTCCCAACTCCGCCCGCCTGGCCCGGCTCACGTCACCCGCCTTCCCCGCCCCTCGGACTGGAGTCCGAAGCCCCTACCCAGCCGGGCGCCCCTGGCTCGCGTGCCCACCGCGCTGGAGCCGGACTCGGGGGACCGGGGACTGTGACCGGCCTGGCGGCGCACCCGACAGGGGCCTGGCGCGCCCCTTCCCCATCCCTGGCCTCGTCCCAGTCCCCACCTTGGGAAAGGCTCGAAAGAGGCCGCGGGCTCCGATTGGATCGCCGGGCGCCGCCGGATGGTGTTGCCACGGTAACCGGATGGCATGCGAAGCAGTTAGAGGTTCCGACCCGGTTCTAAGTACGCCCAGCGGATCCTGAGGGCTGATTTGGGGAGGGGACGTTCCTGAAGGGAGGACTCGCGGCGTGTAGGGAGAGGGGGCTGCGAGAAAAGTTTCCTCCAGCCTGAGCTGCAAGGTGCTGGCGAGGCGAAAGGCTGGGGGAGGCTGGAGAGGGTCGTCGGCCAGGGATTTCTCCCAGCGGCCTGTGCCTGGCCTCAGCCCTGGAAGACCGAGTCGCAGCGTTCGGGTTGGAACGTGTTTCTGCCCGATTATCCAACAGTCCACAGCGCAGCGTTTTTCTTCCTTCTTCAATGGAAGAGCTGCTCTGTCAGAGCCGAAAGTTGGGGAACTGGGTCTCCCAGACTCCCATCAGGCGTCCTGTCGCCCCCCACCCGTACCCCACATCCAACACTTCCAGATGCCTACCTGGTTACCTGCATTTGCATGACCGGTGAATGAAAGACGGGCACTCAAGGGTCCCCTTTCTCTGGGAGAAGTGATGGAGAGGCAGACTTCCATAGAGACCAGAGATGCTGAGTCCCTGAGGAGGAGTTGGGACAAAGCCCAACTTCCAACTCCGCGCAGATGAGGGAGGCAGGTGCAAAGTCAAGGGCCTCAGAAAGGAGCCCCAGCAGGCTTCCTGCTTGGACATGGGAGCCCGGGCCAGGAGGGTAGAGAGAGGCCGAGGCCGAGCCTGGACTCTGCGGAGTGTTGTGTGAGGTGGCTTCTGCCCAGTCCCTGACACCAGCAGGTGGCCCTTCCCCTCGGAGAGGGTGAGGCCTCCCTGGATGTGTGCTTGGTGGGAGGAGGAGTCAGCCAGAACGTGGGGGTGGGACTCCCCATGCCCCAGGCAGGCGCTCCACCCCTGGGCCTCAGGCCCAAGCCTCAGGATCCCACCCTACCCAGGCAGGATCTGGGAGGACCTGCTTACCCCTTGGTCAAGACCCAAAGAGCGTGGCGAGGGGCAGAATAGCCTTGGTGGCATGCACTTAAACCTGGGTAGGCAGCGGGCCACCGGCTGGGGTCCTGGTCATATAGTGAAACGCCCCAGACACTCAGGCTTTCCACGTATTCCTTCCCATGGGGGTTTGTTAGGACTTAATGAGTTGGCCCGGCAGGCCAGGCAGCTATTATGAGCTGTGTGCCGGTCAGTGGTCCTGAGACACTGGGGTGACTCAGCACTTGGCCTGGCCACTCCCCGGGTCGTCCTCCCCCAGAGCCCTGGTTCTGGGGTGTTGGAAGGAGCTGATTTCACAAAGCAGTTGAAGGAGGCCGGGAGGTCTGAGTCTCCAGCCTGGAAGGAGGTGCCGCCTCTGCTGCCACCTAGGGGAGGAGCTGGGACGCTGCGCCTTTCTGTGGCCTGAGGAGCCCCAGGGAGGCAGCTCCTTCTAGGGAGCCAGGCGGCTGGGGGTGAGGTTCTGACCCTGTTTCTAAGGACCCTTTTTCAACCTTGGCAAGACCCGCTGCCCTCTCAGAATGTGGGAAGTGCATCCGCTGAAATGCTCAAGATTTTTTGGAAATCCATTTTCAAAGATTAATGGAACAGGGCTGGGGTGCAGCTCAGAGGCAAAGGGTGTGCTTAGTGTGGGAGAGGCCCTGGGTTCAATCCCCAGCACACACCAATGTGCAATCTAGAAGCACACACCAATGTGTAATCTAGAAATGCAGTGTATTCTTATTGATACATTAAATAAGCAATTGGCAGAGGTCAGTAAAACTAGGGTTTGGGCACCCAGATGTTCAAACACAATACTCTGAGGGACCTAAAGCCTCAGTAGCATACAAAACGCCCATGACTTCTGTCTGCTGGCCACAGGTACCCTCCAGCCACTGGGGCCTCCCGCCCACTGTCATGACTCAAGGAAATGCTGACCTCGGGGGAGTTAACAAACCCACCGTCACATTTCCCCATCCATATTTAAAGAACCCAAGTTATATCCTGGGGGCCCAGGTTGGAGACCGCTCTGGTTTCTGCAAAGAGAAGCATGTTCTGTAAGCAAGGATGAAAATGTTCACTGGCAGAAATTGCCAGAATTGGACAGACCACAGAGACACGGCCAGAGCCTCTTCATCTCAGCTAGAGACAGGGACCTCAGCCCCACCGGGACTTGAGGTGACCACTTAGAACCTGGGCCTGCAAGCTTGATTTTCCCTACGCTAACTCCCATCCAAACCCCCACAGGAGGGTCTCCTTGGTCACTTGTTTTTTTCTTTATCTCTTAATAAAAAATAGTCTATTTTTTTTACAAACTGAAAAACAATAAAACTTCTATTTCATTATGTGTATGACCTGCTTTCTAGACTTCAATGTTCTCAAGTAGCTAGTTGGTTGGATTTTCTCTTCTTGAGAATGTTTTGGGAGAGGGAGCCTGTGTCACGCCACCAAAACATACCCACATGTATGCACACAGATGCATTACACACCCTCAAACATGCATGCACATATACATATGGATGCAAACACAAAAACCTGCACAAAGATGCACACTCACAAGCATGTATGTGCATGCATACACATGGTCACACATGAATGTGTGTACATATATCGGCATGCATACATACATGTGCACATGGATGCAAACACACATGTACCTCCACACATATGTCCACATATGTCCACAGACTGATGCACTCATGCACATGATCTCACACATGGATATACATATATGTCATCTGTCCACATGCACGTACACACTTGTGCAGACTGATGAACAAACACATGCGTGCGTCCACACAGAAGCACTCACATATACCTGAACATACATGCCTGCCAGCCTCAGCATGCACAGACAGGACCCCTCCCAAGGTGCCCTCTGCGCAAAGTACAGCTCCTCTCCTGAGTTCTGGCAGCTTCTCTCCCGCCTGGCAGACATCCTACCCTGGAATGGCCACATGTCATGGGAGGCTGCTCTCAGCACCTCTCCCTTTCCTAGTTTCTCAACAAAGAAGCTGGCGGCTCTGCGGGAGGTCCTCCTTGAAGCTCTCTGAGGCCATTTACCTAATGGCCTTCCCAGACTTGACTATTTTTAAAACCCATCCAAAGCCAAATTGAACTGCCACTGTTCATTTTTCTTCCAAGGAGGTAAATGTGTCTTAAGCATGACATTTGATTAAGTAGCTAAGTTTGGGGTTTTAAATGGAAGGGCAATGCTGATTAAAATCATTAGAAGTTTCCTCAAAGTGTTCACACTGGGGTCTCCCCCACCTTCCCCACCTCGCTAGCCCCCCCCCACACACACAACCAAAGTCACCTTGCCTTCCTGGAGGAGGTTCAGCGCTGGGGGCTTTGGAATCCTCCCTCGTCATCTTGGCTGTGTCTGCGTGAAGCGGCTTGCTGCTGCGCTCAGGCAGGAGCCAGGCTAGCCTGTCAGAGGTGAGTGAAATAAGAGACTCCCACCAGCAAAAGGGCTCACCAGACAGCCAGCTTGTAGCTCAGGGCCAGAGAGAGAAAAGGTTAGGCTGCTAGTGCCTTTCCTGACACAATATACTGCACACAGAGAGGGGAAAGGTGGTCCCTGGGCTTGCACTGAACAGATGATGGAGGTCCCCATCCCTACCCCGAGTCCCACTGCACGTGGAGAGAGGGCTGCTCAATCTCACCTGGCCCAGGAGAGAGCAACATGGCCCTCACCACAGAGCTTTCAGGGTCCAATGGGTGATGGGTTTGCCTCTTCGGTTTAGATGCGAAAAAATGCAGGAAAGAGGACCCATCCACGTTGCAAAGGGGCACCACTAGGAAGCAGCCAGCTCCCTGGCACTGCCAGGTTGGGAGGGTTAGGAGCCTGACCCTGGGGGGAAAAGGGGCCAGTTCCTAGACTGGGCAGATGCAGGGAGCTTCATCTAGAGAACTCAGAAAGCTGCAGTATGCTTTTAATCCTTGGGCTTTTCCTAACTTTCAAGAGGACCCAAATCTAAGGTTTCCACCCCCTGTCACAGCTCTGTGAACTCTACCAAGCTTCCAGGCATCCCACAGTATTGGGATA